TTTATTATTTATTGTATTACATTTATAACTATTTGTAGTAATGATTTATAAAAATATTTATTTAACATTTAGTTAACATTAATATAATATTTATTTTACATTATTTATGTAGCGAATAATATTATACAAGGTATTACCGCTGGACACTGTTTCTCATAAGTGAAAGTCACACAAGAATTAATAATAGAGGAGTAATATGAGATTTCTCATCCATGTTCTGCCAAAATAGTAATGAAATGACTTTGAAACCAAAATTGGTTTCCAGATGAAAATTAAAGTATTTTGATATTTTTCATATTTTTTAGTATAGATACATTGCTGATCGTTAAAAAATGTGTTTCAAATGTAAAAAAGACATTTTTCAAATGTTTTTTAAAGGTAAATAAAGAAATTTCTTTTCAAATGTTAAAATATATGTTTTTTTAATGAAAAAAAAACTTAATTCATTATTCTTAAAATAATACAAAGATGTGAAGGGCACATAAGAGCGAATCAATTAAAAGTGTATAAAAGATTTATAATACGATATATTAATTGTATAAAATAAGAATTCTAAAAACATAAATCCATTATTCTTATTGGTTTTAAACATGTTTTAAAAAATGTTTTTTAAATGTAAAAAAGAAACGTTTTTTCAAATGTTAAAATAAACGTTTTCAAACTTTTAAAGAAATGTTATTTCAAATAATACGTTCTAATAATACGTTTTTTTTTTTAAATTAGTCAATCCATTTTTATTATACGTTTTTAAACATGATTTTTAAAAACTTTTTTCCTAAAAACAATTTTTAATTTTTAATTTATTATTTTAAATCATTTTTTGCTGATTAGGTCATTAAAACATCATTTGTGTGTCAACTTATTGTGTCACGAAATGGAAAGCATTTCAATAATAATTAGACTGTCTATCAATACATTTTCGATTAATCTAAATGAATATTTAGGAAATCTTACAAAAAATCTCACACTAAATCAGTGATCAGATCACTAAATCTCACACGAGACGTTAATGGGACACATGTATATTCTATGCATGCATATCACGTGAATTTCATGTAGATATATGTATGCAGATACTTGATTAACGCGCTAATACAAACTGTTTTATTTTTTTTTGTATTACTCAAACATGAAATATATTGAATGCTTTAGGATGTATATTAATATTATGATAAGGTTGAATTATTATATATATATATATATATATCGTGTTTTTCGCGTAGTTCACAAACAAGAAATTGCCATCATTTCACATTCGTGTGATCACGTGATCATACAGAGTGCGCTGCGTAATAATAGGTATTCTTGCTCGAAGTACAATTCAAAGTGCTCATAGCTGTATTAATCTTCACGAGAAACATTAGAAAGAGAAAGACAGAGTGAGAAAATCGTGGGCGGTGCAGAGAGTGTAGCTGTCGAAGGAAAACATCTAAAACTGAAGAGCGGTCTGCTGGACTTAACGCCATTGCGCACGCGGGCGAATCTCTCATCGTGTTAGCGTTTCTATTACCGCGTTTATCATTGTTCCAAGACTCATCAGATGGCCCTGGTCGACAACTTTAAAACGTAAGTTGTTCATTTCTACTATTTTACGTATGTACAACCCGCTGTCGGCGTGCAAAATAATTCGCTGTATTCGCGGAACATTATCGGTTATCCATTGCCGTTCATAGTCACCCATGATCGCTCCTTCGACGCGTGCGTTGCTAAAATCATCGCTCTTTGTTAGGCCTGAAATTCTGTGCATGTATTCTCTGGTAAATATATCACAGAAGTATATATGATATCGGAGCTCACTGCGCCTCGCCAATTATGTTTTCCGTAATCGCATTCGCGGTTGAAAATTCGCATAAACTGTGAGTCCAAAGTGAACACAGTGTATTTGCACTTTACATGAACGCGAGTATCGATAGTATTCATCTTCTTTTTCTAATTCAGCACAGTTCAATCAATTGCGCTCTCTTGAACGTATGAATTTTTCTATCTCGCGCATTATAAATCATCCTTTCTCGCTCAAACAGCGACTTGGATGATTAAGCGTCGATTCGCGGGGGCGGACATTTTATGACATTTTACGAACTTTTCATTAACCTTTGATCATTATGCGAAAGACACGGGGCTATGATCGATGAAATCGTCCGGCAGACATCTTATCGATTTAAATTTTTTTTTTCACGAAGGAACGTCTCTTGAACCGTCATCTATCTTTTCTATTGCATTTTTATTTATTTTCGGACGCGGCGTGCAAAATTACATCTTTTCCATAAAATAATGTTTGTTAAATACAAAATGTTAAATGACTGTTTCTTATTTGCGTGTATGTGTTGCAACTTAATGATTGAGATGTTTGATTGCATAAATATCTCCATTTTTCATCGGTTCTCTGCGTGCAACTTCAAGTGCGATTAATTTAACATTTAAATTTCGGAATGCGAGCAATGGCCGATAAAATTCTTATTCAAGTAAAGATCAAATAACACGAAAGCCACATACGCTTGTGGCACTAGTAGTTTGACGTCTGGCTGACCTCATTGTCGGTACTCCCGACCAAATATATATACTCCAACATATATATGTGTGTGTGTGTGACTTGAATTTCGCGACTTGGAGGTTAAAAACGCGAATATGCCTTGAACATTGAGGATGACTTCTTCCTTTCGCGCTTAATAGTAATTAATAGCATAGTTGGCTGGGATTCGGACTCATTACAGATATCAGGGAGAGGACATTGATCAGCGGGATTTGGAGCAACTTCGTCAAACTGCGTACATTTGTTAGCGACGTTGTGAAACTTGTCGGTAGAAGCGGCGCGGAACTTCCTCGACGATATTGCCGTTGGCCGATAACTTATAACTCGCGTATAAAATCTACTTATTATTTATCCAAGCGAAAAATGACGAAGAAATAGATATTACACTTTCGATTTATATCGATATATCGCATTCTATTCGATTTCGTCATTGGTTTACGTAATGTTCAGGGATAAAAATACGTGACGTTTCGTTTTCTTTTTTTTAATGGCCGCGTTCAGCAAAATATTTATTTTATAACTGTTGGAAATTTTCTTCGCTGAGATAGACTATTTCTCTAATTAGCTCGAAAAAAACCAACAGTTGCAATATAAATTATATTCTGCTGAATGCGACCAATAATTTTCGAAATATATTCACGACATTTGTTTTGACTTACGGAGATAATTAACTCTTACAATTAATACACACGATGAATCTTTTATGTTCTAAATTTTCATCACTTTTCCAAGTATATAATTATTAAATGATCCTTGTATTTATTTTGACATCTTTAGAACATATTTATAAAATTATATATTTATAAAAAATTGTACATAAATGTTAAAATTAATTATAGTTAACAAAATGAGCAAAATGCATTTTTTCATATTAAAAATATGAAAAACATATTCCAAAAACAGAAATGTTTAAAAGAAAAATATGTTCCAATACTTTAAAGTTGACATATTCCAAATTACAAAAGAAAAAATAGTTTGCAAGTATCGATTGTCAGAAAGTTTACTTATTATAATATAAATTATATGATATAAATTGATGTTATTGCATTTACATTTTAAACAATGTATTTTATAATTGATATTGTGTTACAATTAGAAAAAAATATTTTGAATATTTCTTAATTTTATATTACATTTTTTAAATATTATTTGCAACATTCAACACAAATTGTTTTATTTTCAATTTTTTTCAATTCGTGAAATTTTTGCAATGTAAATGAGAATTAATTGAAAATAAAGAAAAATTAAAAACTTTTTAGCTGCAAACAAAGTTATACTTTACACGATGGAACTTTTCATGTTCTAAAATGGATTTATGAAACATTCTTGTCAGAAAATACGCAGGAATGGGAGCAACGCATAAAACTTGTTCTATAGATAAGTTTTTTTTTTAGGAAAAGAAAACATAGGCTATTATTTAATAAAATGTTTCTAGTATTTCAAGAAGAAAAGTGCTGAGGACATGAATGAGCCAATCGTGTGTATTAAGAATTAAAATAAGACGCACTGATGT